CATCTTGCACCACGATAGTGCCAGTTCTCACACGGCCAGACAGACAAATGATTTTTTTAAGGTGAACAACGTTGACCTTATGAGCCATCCCGCGTACAGTCCCGACCTAGCACCTTGTGACTTTTATTTATTTCCAAAAATTAAGAACCAGTTACGCGATCAACGATTTTGAACGATGAAGAGGCTGTCGAAGAGTATGAAAAATATGTTTCAGAGATTGTCATGGAGGAGTGGCATAAATGTTTTCAAAATTGGTTCATTCGTATGAAAAAGTGCATTAACGCTAACGGAGAATATTTTGAGAAACAATAAATTCATTTCTGACCATTTATAGTATTTTTTTCTTATTCATTCCGGAAACTTATAGTACACCCCACGTAGAATGAAAACAAAAAGCGTAAGAAAATCAGCTATTATTTTATTTTATAGTATACTTATCTGACTCTTACATACTAACGTGAAAAGTAGTTATACTTAATAGTGTGGTTGTAATTGATAAAAAAGTGCAAAATGGGATTTGCGTACTCTTACACTGTACTATGGGTACGAGTACGCATGTCACGCATGTGCGTCGGCAAGAGTACGCAACACTTTTTTTGATAGGATTTCGTTTATCGGCTGCACGAATCACCTCCATACCTTTCTGGTAATGTCATTTTTTGTCTCGGTATGCAAGGGCCTTCGCTCATGGAGAGCTGAGAAGAGGCTACTTGTGGCACGGATGTCCGTGTCGCAAGTAGTCTCTTCTCAGCTACAGTGGTGGTGGTGCTTCAGGCGCACATGCAGCCGATAATTCAAACACATTCAGAGCACATGCCTCAGGTCTGTTAAATCTTTAAAAATACTAGACTCTCGCAAAATAAATTAATTGTTTTAGAACGAGGCATAGCGACAGATATTTTATTCAGAAGTACACTATTCTAAAAAAAATGGTATAAGACTACGCGCGTACTCTTGCAACACGTCGAGTTGCGTACTCTTGCGCACTTCAGCCATTTCAGAATAAAACTGCTGCTAACCCCATATGTTGCAAGTGACCAGAATCGTTTGCAGTTTGACCTCTACACGAGTTTTTGGGCGATTTCATACAAAGTCAAAAAGTTAAGAAAAATATGCTTAGTTTAGTCTCAGTATCAATTTGAAAATACCAAGAAGTTTTATGCAAATGCAAAATGTTAAGACTTAGATAGTGTCTTGGTTTTCAATAATTTTTGATAATTTTCCCGCACATCGATCTCCACTTCCTAGTACTACAAAATGACACTGAACTTAGTTGTGTATTGTAAATAACTTCTCGGAAATCTACATTGCGTACTCTTATCGAATGCGTCATCTTAGGCCAGGGTAACCTTTATTAAAAGGAAAAAACCAGCAGTGTCGCAGCACTGCCGAACACCCAGTTATTTATGTGTGCTGTAGTAGTGCAACGAGGCCATAGCTCAGGGTCGATGTTCAGGAGCAAACCGCTGATTTTCAATTACAACCTAGAGGGTGCCACGCATACGATAACCAGCTAGCTGACGCCATTTCCATATTGTATGAATTAAAGAAATAATAATTTCGAAACTAAATAAATACGGAAGATAATTTAAATGTAATATATGATAATAATTTTTCTTTAAGATTTGATTGAACTATGTTAATAATATAAGTAAGTTTAATTTAAGTTTCATTTTTATTTTCACTTTTCAGTTGTAATATTATGTCTGTTACTATTTTTCATTAAAAAAAAATACTATTCCTCTGACCATAAATTACATTTACATTAACGTACTGTGACGCTAGTGTAAGAATGTTAATTTATTTAAACTTATCTCTCAAAGACAGTCTGGGGCCCAGTTTGTAAATTCCACTAACTGCACGTTTCTGCTGGACAAATATTGTATTAATATCGGCGGCAGTACCCCAAAGCAAAATGGCGTATTTATTTTGGTACATTTACTTAAAAATTACTATCTTCCCAACCCTATGCGACTGCTATCCTTTTACAATTGTACCCACACAGCTTATGAATGAAAAAAAAACATAATTATAGTGATACCCAGTTGAGTATACATGAAAAATATAAAATGTTCAACATTAGGTAAATTTAAAAAAATAAACCCGTATTAGTACAATGGGTTGACCTACCGCGTGCCTTTTTTAATCTCTGCTACCACTGTGGGTTCGAAATGGGACTCGCACCTCTAAGGTTTTTGGGAATTTAAGTGCGAAATTTAATTTTGGAATTCTCCATGAGCTTTTCTTCTTCTAAGGTAAACATCGTGATGGAACCCCAACCCGCATTAAGCCAGCATGACGGAGTATGGCCTAAGCCTTCGCCTAAAAGCGGACCCGTGGCAGTGGGAACTATAAATGGGTTGATGATGATGAAATTTTACAATACAGTGCTTACAAAAATAAATAAGATTGTACTTCTAAATGTACCAAAATGTAAATTCTTTAAAAAATAACAACAATAAAATTATTAATACTACGGTGTTTTCTGAACAGAACCTTCGGGAGATACCATGGCCCATCATTTCTAGCGCAAAGGAACACTGCTGTGTTCCACACTGAAGGGTCACCACCGCCACCACCACGATATCGTGACCACTGTTACAGTTGACGAAGATTTTTAAGCCTTTGTATCGTGATTTTGATTATTTAAGACCAAAACATCTTCATCGGGTGAACCGTAACTATTCAGGCAAACTTTTCTAATAAAATCCTTAGTATAGTCATTTTAATACTACAAAATGTGCGAGTCCTATCTGAATATGGGATCGAAACAAGTCTTCTATCTAGATGCTGTCCAGTGGATTAAGATGGAGTGCGGCTGAGAATTTTAATATTATAAAGAATGTTATATATTACCGTTCAGAGACGTGGTATGTCAGACAGCTTAAATAGACGACATCTTAATTAACATGGTACATAGCTGTACCTACGTGCCTGATTGAAGGTTCATTTTTTACATAATCGAATTATTATTAGATAAACTAAATAAAAATCAGCGCTCTTATATGCTTAACTTATTTTTGTATTTACATAAGTACTTATACGATAATAAACACTATGTATTGTATACCGACGTGCGTAACAACTAAATAAATAATTAATAATTAATTGCCTTGCTAATATTTCCATTTAACTCCATTTTAAATTTATTGGTAATATTTTTCAGCGGCGCCTAGTGGTGTACATAAGAACTTTTATAAACCTTGGAACATAGACAAACAAGACACGCGACGCTACATAATACTTACACCCTCTGCTATGTGACGTATATTTCATAATAAATTTAAATTAGCGCCCTCTATCAACGACATTTAGAACATTTTTGACAACGAGCGTACTCTCTCTCGCATGCATTACAAAATAACGCCTCAACTAGTTCATATAATCTTTACTAGATGGCACTGTTCCTAAGCAATGCAAATCAACTAACCACTTAGTACTAATTTGTTTTCATAGATGGCAGCTGTAGTCTGCGTAGCAACTTTTTGGAAGATCGTGCAAAGCGTATTTGTATTTTAGAAATTAATTAATTGCCTTACCTAATACGGTAACCTTAAAAAAATAAATGCTTAGTTATAGAGTATACGTTCTGCCATACTGCCATAATCATTCAGCTTTAGGTATCCTTACCTACTACTCAGAGACACAAGAAATATTTTGTTTCATTTATCATGGTAATCATAACACTACAGCCTAATATAGTAAATATCTACTCGTATTATAAGGTATAACCGTTGATGTCGCCTATTCATAGATACTACCTATGCAACGCAACTAATCTCATAGAGAGCACATAGTGACACTTATAGAAGCATGTGTCGAAGGTATTCCAATTAAATTACACACGGGGATGCATCAAAGACATTCCGGCTATTGGTTTCCTTACCGACGGAGCGTGAATCTTTGAATTGGTCCTTTGGCAGCAATAATTTTTTGGGAATCTCATGTGGTAGTTAGTGATTGTGAGTGAAATTTATAAAGCAACATCAGCCTCGAAGTATATTTTAGGATTCATTCTAAATCGTTAAATTAATTTCTTAGGTAGGTACTTTAATATTAATTAATAGGTGCACATAACGACAGTTCACAGAAGGAGCTAAAGCTTTATTATCAAAATAGAGGTGTGGCAATCTACTTTTGATAAGCGTAAATAAATGTAAACCTATAAAGTCACCGAATGTTAAGTTTTGTTTACAATTTCTCTTATTACTGTGTATGTTTTTATTGGAGTAGATACTCAACCGTCCATAAAGTAAATATAGGAAAATATTTCTGTTTCATAAGATAAATTTCCCTCCAGCAAACACTGTGAAGTATTCTCGAGTCTTCGAGTGGCAGGAAACGAAATGAGCAGACCACTTAGACGCTGTAATAAACCACTTTTACATTCACTCAAAGATTTTTCATTTACTTTTCAAGCTGAGAGCGAAAAACGTTGAAGGTTTCCTGCAATATTTCGATTTGAGCACGATAATAATACATGCTGAGCTGAGTAGTACAATTATTCATCCTTCAAGGCAAGCTAATGCGGTCTAATCGACCATACTGTCAGATCTTAAATTATATTTTTTCCTCAATAGCTTCATTTACTGACATTTTTTCGCGGGAAATCATTAATCTTTACGGTGGCCATTTTGAAAGCTGCGCGCTGAGCTAAAAAAAATCAATTAAAAAAATTTTCTTTATTTAAACAATCTTAGCGCAATCAGTGCACTGAACTCCAATTCCCAATAAGTTCAAAAGAGGTCACATAGCAACGCGTTATTAAACGAACGGGCAGTCGCGAATACCAGCAAATGAAAAAAAAGACATTTCAAAATTATTAGAGAGAATTTTTCTACATTCGAACAAAAATCGTCATAGCAACAAAAATAACAATCGTGAAAAATTGAACGTTTGACGTGGACATCGTGTTTTTTGTCTAGAAAAAAATTGAATATTGGCAAAAATAAATGATGTTTTCCGATGAAGAAATAAAAGAAATACCGGAAAGCAGTTTCATGAGGCCGGGTGACGAGATAATAAGGTTCGATGGTCTTGAAAAACAAAAGTATACACGACCATGTTGATTGTTTCACGCTATTTTTTTGTTTAACAAATGCTAATTTATTATTTTATTGTTTTAGCATTCGTGAAGTGTGTCTTAGTGACAAGTTTGACAAAAAAGATTTGGGATTTACCGGCGAACCGCTGTTGTCGAATTCAGGGAGGAATGATGTATGTTAATTTGATTATACCTAATTTTATGTAGGTACTATCTAGAACGATGTTACGATTACAAATCTTTCTGTATTTGATAGTACTGTTCGTAACTTTGTGTCACACTACACCGTATCGTAAAAGATCAGGCGTATCATAAAAGATCAGGGTTCGAGTCCCGTGGGTTGCGAAGTTTGATTCGGGTGGTGATTTTTTTATATTGTGACTGATTTCATAGTTGAATAATTTTCAGGTTAATTTTCTCTACGTAATTTTGGTGGCAATTTTTATTATTCAAATATTCTAGAAAATATATGAAGAATGATTTAATATTCAAACGTGGGAACTTCAAATATTATTGAAATTGCTAAATAGTGTAACTCATAGATTTAGTATAAGTGCCCTACTAAATCTATTTAACAGTACGTTACCTATTTAACAGTATAATTTGAAATATATTTTCATGATTAATTTTTTTTTGCTAGGTTTTAAATGCAGTCATTTCAGATCTTCTTTATCATCTTTTAGATTTAGATCTTTAAACCCCTCTCCTAAGAAGTTGACAATTTGCAGTTGAGACCTTATTACACCAAGGGTGTGATAATACGTTTCATGTACAGATTAACAAATCCATCATCACTTGAAATGCGTAACAAGATAGAAGGATAGCAAAATACAAGTTCGGACTTGTGCAGACTCCTAATATAACCTGTTAGACGCGTTCCCATTATGTCGCAACGTTTTATTTATGATTTGAAGGTTGTCGCGTTTAACCTGTTTCTATATCACTGCTATCTGTCGTAACTGAGTCGTGGAAGTTTATTTTTTCGTTGAACGACTGTCATGTGTAACTGTTCCGAATAGACGAGAAGTGACGACAATTCAACGGTTCACGGCAGCCACCTTGTTGTTTACACGGCAGAATCGCTTGAAGCTGCGATTATCTGACATCACATTTTTTTCGTGACATCGTTCTAGCTCTTCCCAATGTCACGACCGTCTGTCGTCGTAACGTCAAAAAAGTGAAGGACAGTTAATCGTGTTGATTTATGTGTGAACAACTTTATTTAAATATACAAGTCACGACACTTTAAACTGCACGACTATCTGTTGTCACGTCATAATGAGAACCCTTACGGGTAGGATTTTTTCTATATACTTACTTACTTCGCTGGCCCGTGGCTGTCCCGGCCTCCGAAACGAGATGGTGCCACTTTCTTCGGTCCTGTGCAATCTCTCGCCAATTGATGGCTTGCAATTCGCGCAGGTCCGCCTCCACGACGTCGCTCCAGCTATGCCTGAGACCACCAACCGGTCTTCGTCCAATAAGTCGACCCAGATAGGCTCTCTTCACGTTCTGATCCTCACCCATCCATTCTAAATGGCCGAGGCAGCGAAGTCTGTGCGCTTTGGTTTCGCCAATGATGGGCCACGAGCTCTTTTATTTCAGCGTTAGTGTGGACTCTCCACCTACCGTTCTCCCTTCATCTTGAAAGTGGTAAATTCTAACTGGCATTGTTCGTGGTCATAGGAGGTACACGACAGAAGCCTCCCTGCACGATGTATCTGTAATTTCTTTCTTGCACGCCTGACGCACCTAGAGCAACAGTCAGCGTGTTCCCTACGCCGATGACAAATCCTGTCACCACGATGGCAAACATTATTTAAAAATGCCATCGATACATTGTCATTGTCTCGTATACAATTAAAAACAACTTTCAGCTTTTCCGTGACGGTTTCTTCCCTGATGGTCTGGAACCTCAGCAGGCGAGGTTCGCATGGACCGAAGAGGATGGCAACATCGCGTCTTTGGTCTCCGAACCGGGGTTTGGTACTACAGGTCAAACCACCTTCGGCAAGGACCTGGATGCCGCACTTAAGAACGAGATGAAGGTAGAATTATATTTTTGCTTGACTCATGATATTGAAGGTTGTTTCAACAAAAATAATTACTTCTTTATCATGCAAGAATATTCTTGATGGCAATAATCATACTATATAATGACATTATGATATATAAAGGACGATAAAAAAGTACGTTTCAAATTTCATGGGAGTCACTCTGTTTCAAAATTTTCCCATAGAAACTTACATGCAAATACCTAGATGTAAAATAATATTTTTATAAATACTTGAGTAGCAGCAAATCTCCTTGTGAAACAGTTCGTCCTGGGAAGGACTGCCATCACATTACCTAGTTCTGCCGTCAAGCAGTAATGTTGTCAACTTATGATTCAGGGTGGCAGAGCCCCTCAGATCTTTACGATTAAAAACTTTGAGTCGCCACTCGAAGCTTTTAATCGTAAAGATCTGATATAAGCAACTGTCACGGATAGGCGTGTCGCTTACCACCAGGCGCACGACTTGTTCGTCCCGTCCATTGGTCGATATCATAAAAAAATACTTTTTTATTCACAGCATGAAGCAGATACGTCAAGTGCTGTCTTTCAACCAACCAGTCGTAATGGGATGACGTTTACCAGGAAACCTTATGTAGAGCCTCACCTCGTTTCTTCTACATCTTCTGGACCAGGTACCATTACATTTTTTTTGCTTTCCCTTCTTTATAATAATAATAATAATGTGCCAGACAATCACACCCATTACCTGGTCTCAAACTAGGGAATTCCCTGTACCAGTGCAACGAAATTCACTCCTAGAACCAACGTATAAAGTTCACTTCTTTTCGGGATCGAATCTGGGACTTCCTCATTCGGCGCTCATAGTACAAACCGTTGGGCTATCGAGATTGTCGGTAAATAGTCGCCTAATATCGTCTCTAGTGCTTTTCAACTGCTGTTTTGCAGCTCGTTTGATTACACCCTTAAACCCAAGAATGTTTATATTTACACAGCAAATTTTGTGAAAATAAAACAAGATAGGACAATTCTTGTCACATAGCCTAAAATTAATATGTCACAAATGTTAATTGGTGTATCACCGTTTTATTGTCAAAATTGTAAGTCCCCTCATTCGGCTTACTTACATCTCAATATTTATTACTTTCGTAATAAAGGGCACGGATGTGTGCTTTCGTAGAAAACAGTACCTACGCACACTTCCATGGACAAGCTTTTTTATAATCAACCGTGGTATTTCAGATTTTATAATGTAAACAAAATATTTTCGTAACGGAGTTTCGTACAAAATATAGTTATTTTAAGGAAATCCTATCAAAACCACCAGTTTTCTGCATCTTTCTGCCTTACATTTTTCCCTGTATAATCAATCAAACTTTTTTCCCTGTATAATCAATCAAAGAAGTAGTTATTCTGCCACAGCATTAATTTTAATGTTTTCATCATTAGGTAAAACTAGTCAAGGAACATTTAAGGTGGACAAGACCGATCCACGCTCTCGATTCCACTACGTAAAATATGTAAAGAGACACGGGCGCACTGTCAAACTGTGGGAATGCGGTATATGTAAGTCTAAATAATCTCTTAGAATAAGTGTTTGTTTATTTATCTTTACTATACTTCTTATTTATCGAGTTCTGAGGTTTTGGCAATTGTTACACATAGGAACTTAAACTTTTTTCGGCTTTAAATCACGTATTTTTCAAATATACCAATGCTTCGGGCTGTTTTACAAATGTCATTGTCATGGCTGACGGAAAATTTAAAAAAAACACCTATACGAGATTTAGATCCAAAAAAATGGTATTATTTCCAATGTAGAGCTATTTCTTACTGTTAAAAAGGCTAAAGAGCTACCCTGCATTTGGAAAATATTACAACAACAACAACAAACAACGCATACACTTATTGCCCCGCACTAGGGAAGCCTTGTATCGCGGGCGCCATAGACACACACATAGGTAGACAACCACAAATTACACCCAAACTCAGGAGAGAAGTAAATGTAGGCCATACAAATATTTCTCCCGGCCCGGGAATCGAACCCGGAACCTCTGCATGGCAATCAAGCACGGTAACCGTTCGACCACCGAGGCTGTTACAGGATACAGGAGAGCGATTCAAAGTATTTTCTTTTTTAAATAAAAAATCATAACTAATTTTATTTGTTATGTGGAAAGTAGACTACTAGAAGGTTTCAGCTATCGACGATGAATACAAAATTATTTTGACATTATATTATTGACAAAATTTGTTCATACTCGACATAAATGCCACGTTAGACATCAGCTGGGATAAATAGCTCACCGCCACATTTTTACATAAATACGTTACGGATAAGGAAATAATACACATTTTAGTAGACCCTATAAAATACCTTACTAGTGGGATAAGTTAGACTCAGATTAAAACAAAAGGCATAACACAATTCCTACAGCATATCATGTTCGGGTGTTAGAAGTTGATATTATGTTGAAGTTGTTAACTGAAAAATGTTGCTATGAAATTTAACCATTTAGGTGCCTCGATAACTAATTTGTATTAGAATCCAAAGTGTCTGTCTAATACTAGGCTGCTTTAGTGTATAATAATAATAATAATAATAATAATAATAACGCTCACAATCAACATAGCCCCGCACTAGGGAAACCCTGTGTCGCGGGTGCCATGGACACACACATAGACAACCACAAATTACACCCAAACTCACGAGAGAAATAAATGTAGGCCATACAAGTATTTCTCCCGGCCCGCGAATCGAATCTGGGACCTCTGCGTGGCAGTCCGGCATGGTAACCGTTCGGCCACGGAGGCAGTTGTATGCTCTGCATCAAAAGGCATACACATATACTAATGTTAATCATCCTTAAATCTCTCTTTTGTCTACTGCAATAGGAGTTATTAGTATAAACTGCATAAGTCATAGTCATGGCTAAATGTGATCTCAGATTTGAGAAAATTGTCATTGCTGAAATTCAGCAATCTCATAATTATGCGGTAAATTTTCTGCAGATGAGACATTAAACTTAGGTGGTAACTTTACGCAACACTGGAAGAATTCAATATACTTTACTGGGGTATATCAAGCACTTTTGTTAAGAGCTCTCATACCAAAAAAGTTTTGACGTTGACTCCGCCCAAATTTGTGAAACAAATATATGCCTGAAGTTCGCGTGACATGCGACAGGAGATGTTGAATTTTGCGCATTAAAAGTACCAAATTCGTTTTAGCGGAATAAATCTAAAACTAAAGGGATTAAAATAAAATCCGTAGTGACAGTTGTCGATCATGCATAAATATAATTAATTATCTAATTTTTGTCCTAATAACCTGTAGCATTTCGAGGATAAATCGAAAAAATTTGAAAATTAGAGGTCATTTCGTGATTTTTACCTATCGAGGAAACTTTATTGTTTTATGTTTCTGATTAATGTCTATGCTTGAATATATCGTGTAGTTACTCATACAATATTTTATTTTTAACTTTAAAGTGGATATACCCCTCTAAAATCAAATCGAAGATTAGGAATTTTTCCTCTGCTCCCTCTTAAGGATAACTTCAATGAAACCCAGTTTTTTTTTACAGCTCACTCGTAATTTTTTTTCTGTAATTTTTAAGACGGTGTAGTTGCCATAAACTTTTTGAACCATCTACCGTTAGCGTCACCATCCCCAAATTTGTCAATTTTGGTGCATATTGCTTTAAACAGGTAGTCGCGAATTCCAACACCAATACACTCTGATGCGGCATCTGCCAACACACACCGATGAAAGGAACTTCCACTGTGACGCATGTGGCAAGAGCTTCCGCCAACTCTCCACTCTCAGCCAACATAGAGCTATACATTCTGCTGAACGCCCATATTCTTGTGAGGTAAACTGTATCACCATTACTTAATTAAAATGTAATTCTATTTAAATAACTTACAGGAAAACCTGACTTGGAGTACAGGAGATAGTTTCGAAAGAAAAAAAATGCAGTATTTAAGTGTTTTATTGAATGTAAGGATGTTTAACCACAATAATATTCAATTATTCTTTGTGAAATTACTCCACTAGTTTGTTATAATTATTAATACAAAGATCGACCACTTAGAATTCCTTGAATCCGGCTGGATTCGAACCAACCTCTTCTAGCAAACCATGCCAGACGCTATGCGAACTAAGCCACGAATCGAACCAGAGCGGACCTCACGAATTGTTCCATGTGCTTATTGTCGGTTGTATCTAGTTTTTAACGACTTTTTAGCCGTAGCGCCATCTATGAGGAATCTATGAAGAAATGTATGCAGTCTTTGTTTGAAAACAAAAAGAAATCACTATTAGTAACTCAGTGGCACTAACATCTACTTATAGGTGAAGTCCCTAAACTCATTACGTATCCTATCGTTTATTTTATCTAGGCCCAACATTATGAATGCTCTTTTCCATTCAGGTATGCAGCAAGACCTTCAACCGAGTATCCACTTTAATCTCCCATCGTAAAACCCATTCCGATGAGAAACCTTACAAGTGCCACATCTGTCCCAAAGGATTCCATCAGAAAGGTTACCCTTTGTTTTCCTTCCGAAATCCTTGACCTTCCTTTTTATCTCCATTAGAGTATAATTGTGCAGAAAAATCTGTAACTCTACCAGTATGCATACTGGCTAACTTTCCCTTTCAGGAAACTTACGCAATCATCTTTTCACTCACACTAACGAACGCCCATATCGTTGCAACATTTGCTTGAAAGGCTTCAACCAGCAATCGAACTTGGTCTGTCATAAAAACAAGGTACTTTTATAATGATTTACTGCTGATGCTTTATTGTTGTATCTTCAACAACTTTCATTTCACGGGAGATCTTTTTCAGGCACACCCTGATGATAACTGTCCTAATATACCAAGATCAAGATCAGCACCACGTTTAACGCGATCTGGTAATGAAGGACAACCAGATTCTACCAGGTAAGAACACCAGTACTTATACTTATTGGAGTTGGGTATCTGATTTTAGCAAGCGCTATCTTCGTCTTCATCATTCCATCTTCCTTTATCATCGTGTGACATTATGGACAAACGAGAGCCTAGCTCTAATAATAATAAAACGATTCCCTCTAAACTTTTATGTGTAAAGTAAAAATTATCATTTTCAGACCACCAGTAGATCATTGCGAAGTTTCCTCCTCAGTTGGTCCCTACCTTCCTTCAGTAGAAGGACCATCAACGTCCAATTGGTCAAAACCAACCCCTTGGGAACTACCAAAACCTTACCCCGAATCTAGAGATATATGGAACAACGAAAATCCCTGGGGTTCTGGCGTTATAGTGGATCCTATAAAAACGTATCACATGGGAGTTGCTTTGGCTACTAAACAGACGCCGTTCGCTTTGCTAAAACCGGATAATGGAGCTCCTGTATTGGTTAAAGTCGTTGATACTAGTCTACCCGGTGGGAAACAGGTTAGTGTCGTTAATTATCATGAACACCAGCTTTTGTAATAGGTAGAACTTATTGATAAACATGAAAGTGGGTTTTAGTAACTGAAATTAATCCTTTTGTTATATAGATGTTAGTACCAGCAACAGCTGAAGATTTACGTGATGGGGGAAAAATAGTAGTAAATAACGAGGAAAGTTCGTCTCCAGAGGTAAAATATGAGGTACGATTATGATGTATCCTTTTCATTGGAATACTAATAAAGAAGAAACAATACAGGATATTTCAGAAATTCTCGATTAATAGAAGCCGTTCCTGGAGGTGTATTCAGAACCTTACGATAACTCAGTAGTCGACCGATTCGATTTGATATCGTAAGGTTTCTTTTCATTTTTATTCACAACAACCGAATCGAACGGCAAACTGTCGTATTCGACAATGACGTCACACCCGTACGATTACTAGAACTTCTTGACCGGCAATGACTACAAATGTTATTCAGAACACAGTTATTGAATGAAAGTTACCGAACATCCTATTGCTACTCCTATATATATCTATATATCCTCTTACTATTTTAAATTAAGTTTGGATTTTGTTAAATTTTATGAATTATTTTAATGCGAGACTAATTCATTCCTACATTTCAGGCCTTTAAAGTCTTAAAAATGTATATAAAACGATTTTCATTTTCCTTATAATCTATTTCACCGACTAACTCCGTAAACGCTCTTGGATAACGATATTGTATCCGAATCCGAATTAAACATTAACTTGAATGTTCTGAATAGCTTGAAAAGCGCCCTTCGATTCGAGAACGATATCCAATCGACCGATTCAGTTAAAATATCGAAGAGTTCTGAATCGGGGTCCAGAAGCGAGATACATTAGAATTTATCAGTTGTCACATGTATTGTACGGTGAGGCGTGATGGTTGTTCTTTGAATAACAATATTCATAACATTTAATTTCAGCACGTAGTTGAAGGTGCAGGACCAGAAATCGGAGGTGCCGTCCAAATAAGAGTGCCAGTCGTGGCCACTGTAGTCCCGAAGATCAGACCTAGTGGTAGATTGCAGCTAGTCGTTGAAGAACCTCACCATGCTTACCATACTGCTTTGTCTTCTGATGGTAAGTTTTGACGAATAATACTATGTATCAAAGAAAGTAATCTATTTGGAACTTACTTTTGAAATCATATAACTCTCAATTATTTTAATAATACTTTATTGTTGAAAACCATACATAGGAAACATGACAATACCGGTAACTAACTCAGCGTAAAACTATATAATAGCCTCAGCAGTTTGCTGGTTATCAAAATTCACTTGGTATGTTTTAGCTGCTGGTGGCATAGTTGTTGACACTTTTTTAAATTTGAGATTTAAAATTATAAATTGAAACCTTGTCCTAGTTGTAAATGTGGAACCGTGCACCAGTACAGAGAAGATCCTTCCGCCGGGTGTTCCTCACTCTGACCCGCCACGCCGCGTTGAACCCTGCAATACATACGATGAAGATAATATAAGACCAGGTAAGAACTATGACTGTGGCATGAATTCAGGCTATAGAATCTTTGTATAT